TATACTAAAGCTTCCAAAAGCTCACATAAAAGTTTGCTTTACTGTATACCCCAACAGATTTCACATAGGTTAAGGCAATAGCAAGATAATAGTTTTTCCACAAAAATGCATATGCATTCCAAACAAGCCTTTTTGGTTTTTCACTAATTTAAAAGGTTCAAGGTCTCAAGAATAACAAGGAATAAAATTGAGTTCCAAGTCCACTACCTTATTCCAACAACACACTCTAACACGCAAAAGGACCCAACGCTAGAGATAGGCAAAAATCCTCAAAGGAAATCTAATGCGGCTCTCCAGTCGAGAATGGTACTAGGTCAGCGGCTCTATCCGAGACACCACTAGCTATCTCACTTTGGCTCTTCCGACTAACAGCGTCAGCCGTCACGTAAGCTCTTCCTCCGGAAGCTAGTCGTGCCAGCAGTCCTGAACGAGCTCCACTTATCCGTACTGCCCAGAGTTCACACCTCCAGGTCTAAGCGAGAGGCTTCTTTCATCGAAATGACCCTGTTCATGTCTTCGGGTATTTCTTCTACGTCTCAGCGTTCTTAAAGGTAGATTATGACGTCGCTGCAGAATTACATCCAGATATTCTGTCGTAGTCGTTATTGCGTTACTTAGCCCAAAAGAATCACTACGCGCCTGTCGATATTCTCGTCGATCCCCGAGTCCGTTTTGATACGTCGACTCCTGGATCTTCTGCTAATGGTACATCGGGCCTTGGATTCGGTCTTCAATGATTTTGCTTTTGTCTTTAGTTGATTGAACATCCTTCCTTGTCCTGAACAGACCTCGTGACAGTAGTTGATCGTCCTTCCTTGTCCATCGGTTAGTTCACGATTGTCGATGTGCAACATTCTTTGCACTGAACAGATCGGCTCCTTCGGTGTTAGGGTTGGTTGTAACTCGCCTTGCTCGTCTAGTGGCCTTCTCCGCTGATCCTTCGGACTACTCCTAAGTGCATCCAGATGATTGGTACGTCTCAGAGTTGGTCCAATTGTCTTGGATAACGATAAAAATAAATTGATTCGGATGAATGGAATATCCAAACACAACTGAAAGGATGATATAAGACAAGCAGAAAGCTGGAAACACTTGTCTTAATTGATACATCAGGTCATAAGACTTGATCTCGAAATTTCAAGCGAACAAGAAAACAAGAACAAGGGTTTTCAAAGGTTTTTCACAAGTCCAAGAAAATGAAAGATTTCTCTCGAAGTTCAAAAAGAAGTAAAAGAATGACTCGCAAGTTCGAGAATACAGGCGGCTCTATGCTTCACCATACACATGCTACAGGCTCGACTGCCCTCCTTAAAAGATCCTTCATAATCCTCTAAGGTATAACACCTTCCTCGTGTTAATTGATAACTCCCGGTCGGGGAAAACAACTTCCGATGCGACATACGATTCAATCATAACAAGATAAATGATTGTCGCTGGCCTCTAGGTCAAAATACTATAGGGGCTTGCGCCTACCTTTGCGTTCTCGAGGAGTTATCGCAAACTAAAATCACAAATTTTACGAAAAATAAGGTTTAGCAGAAAACAAATATGTTTATCCTTATTCGTACACAAAGTCTCTAATCAAGGTTAGTGCTAAGTATCAAATACAAGAATTGCACACAACAATTTAAAAGATAAAACATGGAAAATGAAAGATAAATACAAAACACACGATCTAGATTTCTCGGTCCAATTGTCCACTCCTTGCTCTATTTATCCTCTTCCTAAGTCAGAGCATACTCATGGTATTCTCCCTCCGTATCGACCAAATGTCGAGTATAAGGGTTCATCCACGTTCGTCCACCATTGATCCTCTCTGGTGTAGGTCACCAATCTCCTTCTTTATGCAATTGCGCAGTTCCAAGGAAAATATTCCTCGGTGATGATTTTCCTTCATTCGCACTTGTAATGCCCCACTTTTATTTAACGAAAATCAGAATAAAATTTTCAAAATTTATTTCAAAATACTTGGCGGCGCTACTAATTGAAAAATCCTTTTCCATAACATCATAAACATAACTCCCAAACGGGTTCATAAATCGAATCAACACCCAAATTGAGTTCAACAATAACATTAATCTCCCAAAAACTGGGTTTTTACAAATGCATAAATACTAAGGAGTACACTCTCTATCAATAATCTGGTAATCATCATATATCCAGAAATGCAGTAAAGAATACGAAGCAGTTCATAGCAGCAGAAATGAAACCAATAACATGACCACCACTCGCCTCCACTGCCGTGCCCGCAATACTAACCTGCATCCATGAAGAGCAGGTGGGGATGAGCACAAAAGGAAACAGTAGTGCTCACCACTATGCAGTAAACATTAATCATAAATAAAACAAGTATGGTCACAGCATGTATACATTAATTAGTTATCCCAACCTCCTATCCCAAGTTCGTTCTCATGTGCACACCTATCTCAATAGACTATTGCCGACTATATATCAAAGCCACGACCCTCGGCCTTCTGGTCTTACAACGAGTGTCCAGCCAGTAGGAGTCTCCCCCGAAGCCCGGCCTCGCCATCGGACTTACATCGGGGTACTTATCGCTGACCGAGCACAGCCCTGGTCTCAAGCGACGTGTCCTTCGCAAGGATGTAAAGAGGAGATTACCCCATCGGGGTCGTCCTATAGTTACGGGGATAACCATTTGACGGCCGATACAGCTCACATCGAAGGCTACATGTTCCACATGCATACTTTGATCATACCAAGTAAAATAATAATAACAGTAATAACATTTACAGCATAGCCAATTTTTCAAAACCCACCTGGTGTCGGTTGAAAGATATCACAAAAAATCGGAAAAAAAGGGTAGGCCGAGGAAACAGCTCGTCAAACACCTACATTACACAAAAATAATCCTATGAAAAACTATACAACACGCGAAGTCAACCATAAAAGACCGAAGTGATCCCTACCCACCGAAGTCACTCCAAACCGAGGTCAACGCGAACCGAAGTCGTCACCTCCTAAAGCAGGTGACAAGGCACCTACACGCCCCTCTCACGATCTACGAGATTTGTTATCATTTACATAGGGCCCACTGGCTTTGCCGCCCCTCAAAAGTAGCTTTATCAGACAAGCGACGCACGGATCCCGATGTATATACCAAAAAAGTTACTATAAATAGCTAGCTGATGGTACTTGTACGGGATTCGATTCCTGAAAAACCAATCTCTTATAATGCAACGCGAAACAGCTCGTAGAAGCATTTCACCTCGGTTCACCTCAGACCGGGGCCACTGTTGAATATCTTATACATGCTTTACGCTCAAATTAATCATCATTATTAAATAAATGCAGAACTAAATCGTTGTTAGGAATCATACAACAACAGTTTGGCGCTAGAGGAAGGGCCTCATAAGTGATTTGAGGTTAATCTCCAATTCTTGTGTAGTGATCCACATCAGTCATATCAATCATGTCTCATTCTGATCATCGTGGTCATACTTCACGAGATGGCCACAGTCGCAGCGCTGCGCAATCCGCCAGACGACAAGTCGCAGCTCCCCATATACCAGATTATGCTGTTCTGTTTCAAAATCCAGAGTTTGCGCGTGGGTTCGCTACCTTGATGGCTCAAACGATCCCTGGAACATCAACGACTGCCCCAGGACATTCCATAATACCCACGATGCCCGCAAATCCGCAGAATCCACCGGTGCGGCAAGACGGCGGAAGAACCACTTCTCACGCCACGTCTCAACCTTGCAGTCGAACGTCGTGGCTGCCTCTAGAACAAACCACACGTCGCACCGACGTCGAACGCAATCCCCACGTACTTCCTCATGAAGAAACCGCTGAAAGTCAGTCTGGACATTCACGGCGATCACCGCCCCATGCGCGACACCGAATCCCTTCTAATCCAGCTCAAACTGACCTTCGTCAACACATTGAGAGAAACCGAGCTCGCTAAGAATCTTCCGAACTCGAAACATTGCGACGAAGAATCGCCGAGTTGGAAAGTCGGCAAAGGATGCCCGAAGACCCTCCTCGGCGGACTTCAACTTCGGCACAAGTATATCTGGAAGCCGACTCTCCTCTCACAACGGAGCTCACTTCGGAACCTGTACCGGGGAAAGTCAAAGTTCCTCAAATTGGGTTATATGATGGTACTTCAGACCCCGACTCACACCTCGGTCACTATACTTCGTGGATGGATCTGCATGGGGCCTCAGATGCACTTCGGTGTCGTATGTTTTCTCTTACGTTGGGACCTCGGGCTCAAAAATGGTTCCATTCTCTCCCACCTCATTCTATTTGGAAGTGGCAACGATCTCATTTCATCGGGGCCCAAGTGTGTTTAATTCCGAAAGAATCCCTTGCAAACGTGACTAAAAAAGATGATGAAAGCGTCAAGGACTACATTGCTCGGTTTAATGATCGAGTCCAAAACATGGAGCCCTGTCATCCTGAAACTCTGCTTGTTATGGCTATTGCCGGGCTGAAACCAAACTCAATTTTTCATTGGACATTGTGTCAAAATAAGCCAAACACCTTTCAAGAATTCCTTGCCCGAGCTCAACAACACATCATAGCCGAAGAAGCCATGTCGGTACCCGACTTTAATTTAACCCGAAGTCCTCTAAAGCGGGAACCGATGAGAAAAAGAAAAACAAATTTTTTGACAAGCAAAACAAGACTCAATATAGAGGACCTCCCCGAGGAGATCCCAACGACCCTGAAGTTCGAGCAGCCCGAAAATAGTATGCTACCGATGTGAAATCTGGTTATCAGACCGTGTATTCAACTGGGGCCGCCACCATATACGAAGAAATCAAAGGAAAAGGTATCTTACCAGATCCCAAGCCACTTCGGATGCCCGAGGAGAAATTAGACAAATCCCAATATTGCGATTACCATAAATCGCCGGGACATAATACAGACGAATGTTTAAGTTTGTTAGCTGCCTTGTTGCGTTTAATCGGTCATCCGCAGCTCAGAAAGTTCTATCGTAACGCCGATCCCCAGAAACGGGGACCAGGGCGTCAAATTGAATCGTATGATGAAGACGACGAGGAGGACCGAGGTGTTATGCCAAAATGTATCCGACAAGGGGACAAGGAAGTATTTATGTTCACCTCGGAAACACCCAATTTTAACTCCACTGGAACTTCCCGAGGACGCAAGCGAGACCGATCTCCTAGCCCGATGCAAATCACCGTCCAGCGTGTCAATACCAACAACACCCAGAGTACATTATCCCGTCGACAAATCAAAGCTTACGCCCGACAAGCTTATAACTCCAGCAAACAAGTGTATACTACCGATCTGAGAGACGTCCTGAATAACCGGAACTGTCCCATAACTTTTAATATGGAGGATGCGAATCATTTTGCGCACCCTCACTTCGACGCACTTGTTATTACTGTCCCTATATGCGGAATCCCGGTACATCGCGTAATGGTCGACACCGGGACCTACTCGAGCATTTTGATGTTAAAAGCTTTTGACAAAATAGGTCTCGATCCCGCTGACATCCGGCCTTGCAACGATCAAATACAAGGGTTTAATGGTAGCATTTCAAAGCCCATCGGCGAGATCACTTTACTTGTCAGATTTGGCACTTCGGAGAATGTCACCAAGCTCGTCATGGAAACTTTCAAAATTCTCGATATCAATAACGAATACAATGCGATCATCGGAAGAACAGCTCTGTACAAGCTTCGAGCCGCAGTTTCAATTTTTCATTATGCGTTCAAATTCCCGACTACACGAGGAGAAGGAACACATTTCGGAGACCAAAGAGAAGCTCGAGAACTCATTACTTTCATACCATCTAGTGGAGTCTATTCCACCACTTCGGGTAACGATGAAAATTCCCCACTACCGAATACCTCGGATGGCACAATTCCCAAGGAACCGAACCACAACACCGTTGTTTCTCCTACCTCGGATCCCTTGTCTGAAGACCGAGGTAGACGCCCTTAAAAGGAGCCACTCCTTGAAGAAGACGAGTTGGACCCTAGGGCCCAATTCAAAGAAAAAAGCCGAAGTGATCGAGCCGAACCTGGAGAAGATGTAGAATTAATCTATGTCGACGAACCGGTCTTTCACAAATCGTTGCGCATTGGAAGTCATCTTCAAGAACCTCTCCGAGCAGAGCTTATTTCATTTCTCAAACATAATTCTGACGTTTTTGCTTGGAAGCATGAAGACATGAAGGGCATTGATCCCGGTGTCGCCAGCCATAAATTAAACCTCGACCGAACTGTCCGGCCAATTGTGCAAAAACGAAGAAAATTGGGACCGGATCGTCAGAAAGCGTTGGAAGAGGAAGTTAAGAAGCTCATCGACAACAAGTTCATTAAAGAGGCCAAGTATCCGATATGGGTCTCAAACCCCGTTCTCGTCAAGAAGAGCAATGGCCTGTGGAGGCTGTGTATCGACTTTTTCGACTTGAATAAAGCGTGTCCGAAAGACAGTTATCCGCTCCCTCATATAGATTATATGGTTGATGCCACATCGGGACACGAGTTGATGAGTTTTATGGATGCCTACTCCAGTTACAATCAAATTCCTATGGATCCCGAAGATTCCGAAAACACCTCGTTCTATTCAGCACGGGGCTTGTACTGCTATACCATGATGCCATTTGGGTTAAAAGACGCTGGGGCCACTTATCAACGCCTTGTCAACAAAATGTTTGCTAATATGATAGGTCATACTATGGAAGTCTACGTAGACAACATGCTCATCAAATCGGTGCACGCGTCTGATCACATAACACACCTACAGGACATGTTCAATATCCTCCGATCTTATTCTATGGTTTTAAATCCCAAGAAGTGCACCTTCGGAGTTGAGTCTGGAAAATTTCTGGGCTATATGGTCAGCCAACGTGGAATTGAAGCCAACCCGGCCAAGATAAAAGCCATTCAAGATCTAATTCCCCCGACCTCGGTCAAGGGTGTTCAGGCCCTAACTGGCCGACTTGCTGCACTCAACCGGTTCATCTCTAAATCCACAGATCGGTGTAAACCTTTTTTCGAAGCAATCAAAAAAGGAAAGCACTTCGAATGGACCGAAGAGTGTCAGAAAGCCCTCATCAGCATCAAGGAAACACTCGCCTATCCACCGACGTTACAAAAACCGAAACCCGAGGAAATACTGTTTTTGTACCTCGGAGTCAGTGATTCGGCGATCAGCGCCGTTTTAGTACGTGAGGAAGGGACGTTACAATCACCCATTTATTACGTCAGCAAAGCCCTACATGACGCCGAACTACGCTACCCCCCTATGGAGAAGTTAGCGTTTGCACTTGTTATTGCCGCCCGGAAACTGCGACCTTATTCTCAAGAACATTCTGTAACTGTCCGCACTTCATATCCATTGCGACAAGTCCTGCACCGACCTGACACCTCGGGACGCATGATAAAATGGGCAATCTAACTCGGACAATTCGACATCCATTATCAACCGAGGACCGCGATCAAGGCACAAGCCTCATCCGACTTCATCGCTGAATTCACTCCGGCTATAACAGTTCATGAGGACAATCAGCCGTGGGTTCTTTACATCTACGGTTCTTCAACAGCAAACCGAGCAGGTGCAGGAATAGTCTTGGCCAACCCCGAAAATCAATTATTCTGTCATTCGGTAAAATTTCTCTTCCCAGCAACCAACAACGAAGCCGAATACGAAGCCTTGCTGTCCGGACTAAATATGGCTGAGTCCATGCACGTGAAGCAACTAAAAGTTTTCTCAGACTCTCAACTCCTTGTCAACCAAATTAATGGCTCATACGAAGTCAAAGAACCTCGGTTAACGCCGTATTTGTCCCTGGCAAAAAAGAAGCTATCAAAGTTTTCTGTGGATGTAGAGCACATTCCACGAACTCATAATGTTCAAGCAGATGCCTTGTCTCGTTTAGCCTCAAGTACTGGGATGGAGAGTATGGAATATGTCCAAATCGGACAACAAGAGCAACCGTCGACTTTCCTCCCCGAGGTCGTGGTTATGGACCCAGTGACGTTACAAAAATCTCCGACTTGGATGGATCTTATCATTAAGTATTTAGAAACTGGGGCCTTACCCTCAAACCCAAAGGAAGCCGGGCACTTCGGATCCGAGCGGCACGATATACATTGGACAATGGGATTTTATTCAAAAGAGGATATTCCATCCCACTTTTAAAATGCTTGAGTGAATCTGACTCACGGTATGTCCTTGAAGAAGTCCATGAAGGAATTTGCGAAAGTCACCCCGGTGCACAGGCTTTATCTTACAAAGTTTTGCGACAAGGTTATTATTGGCCGACCTGAAAAAACGACGCCGCCGCATGGGTTCGCAAATGCCCGAAATGCCAAGTATTCGCACCCAACATCCATCAATCTCCCGAGGAGCTCAAATCAATTTACAGTCCATGGCCTTTCGCCAAATGGGGGATCGATCTCATAGGTACCCTACCAACCGGAAAAGGAGGCGTTCGATTTGCCATTGTAGCGGTTGATTACTTCACCAAATGGGCCGAAGCCGAACCGTTAGTCACGATAACCGAACAGAAAGTTGTTGATTTTATATGGAAATCCATCATTTGCCGCTTCGGAGTACCGAACTCCATCATTACTGACAACGGTAGACAATTCGAAGGCAAGCAACTTGAGTCCTTTTGCGAAGAATATAATATCAAACACTTTTTCTCTTCGCCTTACCACCCGCAGTCCAACGGTCAAGTTGAAGCGTTAACAAGCTCGTAAAAAACGGCCTTAAAGTCCGACTTGATGCGGCCAAAGGAGCTTGGCCTGAAGAGTTGCCACACGTCCTATGGGCCTATCAGACAACTACCCGAACTTCCACCGGCGAGACTCCGTTCTCACTCACTTACGGGTCAGAAGCCGTAGTCCCAGTCGAACTCGGTGAACCCACTTACCGAATTCAACATTTTACCGAAGAATCCAACTCGGATAACCTGAAAGCTAATCTGGACCTGCTTGAAGAACATCGCACCCGTGCCGAGCTAAAAAATGTTGCTTATAAACACAGGAGCGAAAGGTACGTTAATTCCAAATTCAAGCCACGTACATTCCGAGTTGGAGATCTGGTTCTTAAACGCGTAATGGGGGCTGACCTCGACCCAATCAAACCAAAGTGGGAAGGACCCTTCCAAATCATTGAAGTCCTACCTCATGGGGCCTACCGGATTGCTCATCCTGATGGAACTCCGCATCAATACTCGTGGAATGCCGTTTTTCTAAAGAAGTTCTATCAATGAATGGTCCGAAGTCGGATAGCTGACTCTCCTTTTGAACGGACCTTCCTTTTGCTTCGCTGAAGGGACGAAATGACTCCTTTGATATACTGAAGGTTTACCGACTTTCACTTTTGAAAATCCGAGCAACAGCTCGGTACCGATGTAAAACACTTTGAAACTCGGTTCTATAAATATTTTGCACCGATGTAAGCATTGCGACACTCGGTCTTGCTGATACCCCATAATCTATCCAAATCCTACGCATGCTTTGGTTGGGGTTGAAGCTCGTCAAACGTCATTTCAGCAAACATGATTTGGCGGGTCCCGATAGTTACCGAACGCAAAATAAATGAATCGGTTGGGGCCTATTCCATAATCGAACTCTGACGAAGTTCGGTGAACTCTATTTTGTTTTACGAACGGCTCAAAATGTGTTAAGTGTTGCGAATTTTTAATAAAGTTCGTATATCGACTTACACTAGTGGCCGAAGCCATTGAAAAAAGATCATTGTGGAACTCGGCATTTATCTTTATCAAAAAAGCCCACAACTCAGTTACTGACATAAATAAATCCGAGTTGGGATAATCCGCACCGAGTTCAGTACACTTGGTCTAAAACTTGCTGAAAATTGCACAACAAATACGAATAAATCTCGAATTTATGCAAACACTTCGAATTTATATTAAAACGTCGGAGAATTCCTTACATACGCCCTACTAAGGGAGTCAACAATCTGACATCCCCAATTACTTAAACATATATATAAAATCCTACTAAGGATGCCAACATACTGGCACCCCAATTATATACTTCAAAATATCATCAAAATATAAAACTTCCAATATTATAGACCTCAAGCAGCACTATTCTTTCCCTCGGCATCCTGGTCGGTGCCACTACTTTCTCCGATGTCCATCCTGACAGACAAGCTCTTCAAGACCACCGCTTCTTTCGCCTTAGTCGCGGCCTCAATAGCCATATCCGACACCGGGACGAGCTCATTGCGAGAATCCTGCACTTCATCAGACGCACCCTCAGCCAGTGTGACGACTTTGATAATTTCGACTTCGCTGTCGGTCGATTTGGCCTTCTCCTCAATATAAGCTTGGACCTTGTTCCGAATCTGCTCCGGGGTCATATCATCAAAATTCTACTCAACCTCTACGTCAGTAAGGGTAGAAATGAAGATATCTGCCAGCTCTTTCCTCTTCCCTTTCTCTCCTTCCAGAATCATATTAACATAAGCGCGTCGGAGAAGAGCAGCCCTATCCTCGGTGAGTGGAGGCAAATCTTAGTTTGGTGCCATCTCTTCACCTCGGCGAAGCATCCATTCGCAGAATTCCTACTCATCTTTGTCAGCCTCCACGTGCATGCTCTTGACCTCCATATCAAAGCCGTATTTCTCGAGCTTGTGAAATAAGAAGAAGCGTAGCTCATCAATGTCATAGTAGCCGGCCGTGTATCGTTCTATTACCCATCGGAGGTTCAGACAGGTGTTCATCTCAATTTCAAGGTCAGGCCCACCGACCTCATCATCCCCACCGGCGTCAGCAACTTCTACCTCGGCATCATCACCCGATTTCTGCTCCGCAACTGCGACGGTCTCTTTCCCACCTTGGAAACCATTCTTATACATAAACTCCCCATAGTCCGATTTCTCTCTCTCCAACTTGGCCATCTCGGCTTGATGTGCATCCTGCTGTCGGCCCACAAGTTCACGGACCTCGGCACACTCTTTACGAGTTGCTTCATGCTCGGCCTTCTCATCTGACACCGTCTTCTCTGTCTCCTCAACCTTGGCCTCTAAAGCCTTGGAATGTTGCTCGACAAAGGCAAGGCGCGCCTTAAGTTCAGCCACCTCGGTCTCAAAAGCCTTTTTCTCCTCGGATAACGCCGAGATTTCAGCCTGCGCCACCTCTAACTGAGCGACTTGTTCAGAAATTTTGCCTTTCATGTCGGCCTCCACTTTAGCCGACTCCTCCTTCAACGATGCAATCATGGCATCCCACGCAGCAATGGTGCCTTTCTTCCCATCCAATTGTGCCGCGATTCGGCTATGATCATCCTCAGCCGCTACCAAACTCACCAAGGCTCGGCCCAAGCACGCCTTAGCGTAACTTAACTTGTCAACGCTTGACAGTGAAGAGACGCCCACTTCGGACTTCGGGTCCCATACCATCAACGGCATGCGCGCTGCACTTTTAGCGTTCTCCGGCATATCAATTCTCGAGGACATGTGCGGAGACTTGACAGATTGGAAAGTGGCAAACCACTCTTCCACAACGCCTTCAGGAACCTTGACCTTGGTGGCCCTTCCTTCATCAATTTACAAGAAAGATTTTTCAAATAAGGGCGACTCATCAACCCCCTTTTTAACATCTCTCCATCCGGAGTCGTGTTTTTTCTTCGACCTCCTCTCTGCTCCAGAAGAAGCCCCAACATCAGACATTTTAATCAACTTCCTTTTCTTCCTCCTCTCCAGTTGATTAGACTCCATGGACTTCGGAGGAGAGGATGGTTTCTCCAGCACTTCGGTATGCACAACCTCGGTCATGGCCAATTCGATTCCTATCACATTTGGTTCGGGCTCTGCCTGATTGATCGCAGCAGCATTCACAACTTGTGTCACCTCGGTAGGCGCAACTTCTTGTGGAAGCTTCGGACTTCCTGAAACAACAATTGAAGTCGCGCTCGACCCCACTTCAGTCGATTTTTTGCCAGCAATCTTTTGGCTGGCAGTTCTCTTCACTAAAGCACGGACCAAATCCCTCCTCATGATGTTGGTCAACTGTAGATCTCGGCTCTTACCAAATTTGGATTGTAGATCCTTATTCAAATACTTAAGCCTGAAGTCCTTTGCCTCTTTAACGGTACGATAGCCCAAAAATCCGAGGAGAGGATAGTATACTGCATTCAGGCGTTAAACGATCAGAGTTACCAACAGCTATTTTACATATATGGAAATGTTGACAAAACCGCCAGACATTAAAGTTCCCTTACCGGGGTCAAACTTTAAAGTAGAGACTCCGGGAGATAGACCAGCAGCCTCAAGCTTTAGATCAACCACGAGTTTGCGATAATCTCGTAAATCTTTGTCTAAGTTGGCGAGTGTAA